TTTGTTTACAAACACATTCTGTCTTGCACTTTCATTTTATTAATTACATACTCCACGTACGAAATATTAAATTTGATTAATAATACATATTAAATGATACAAACATTTTTTTATTCAGATGAATCTATATTGTACGAATCATGTATGTACATATAATAGAAAATGCATTCAATATTATAAACATTCAATTCATTTTAATATGTATTCGTATGTAGTTCTACTTCTCGACAATTCATACTTCCGGCGCTGTATTAATGATTGTTATAATAAATATCGTTATAAAAGTAACTATATAAAAAATTTATATATACTAATATTGAGTAATAAGATTTAAATGTATAAGTTGTTTATTAAATATAAAATAGTAGAACAGTTTCATTTCTGTGTGATTGGCTTCTTTTGTAAATGAACGTGAAAATGATGTCTTGTATAGGAAAATCTGTTTCGTTGTAAAAAGGTAAATAATGGCAAGAAACAAGTTGTGTAACACGAACTATAACATTGTTCATATTTTTTAGTAATATCGATTTTGGTATATTTTGTTTATTTTGCGAGAAATGTTAAAATTACGAAGTGAATACATGTTATACGCATGCTCAAAATGGTCACTCGCGCATCCGGGGTTTACATAAGCGTTCGCAGGGAATACTAATCGATTGGGCGAAGTGAGACGTGAGCGGTCTACACCATTTCTCATATACGCGTAGTTCGACTCGTGTTTGGTGTGACGAAGGGTATCTCGACTCTTCCAAATTCCCTAAAATGGTTAAAATGGAACATGATGTAAGTACACAATTAAATATAATACCTGCATTCAATAGTATATCTTTTTCACACAAAGTTATTCCCGCAAACTAAATGCGTAGACGCGCCATATAATCCGTCATTTTGTTTTGCACGTATAACCTGTGATTCTTTTTAATTTGTTTACGATGCTTACCACCAATCCATTAAATTATGATTGGCATTAATTTTTTTTCTTATAAAATACGACCATAAGTATTTTATATTTTTCTAAACTATGCGGATTTTGTTATATCCCGATGTAATATTATTTATCAATTAGTTAGAATAATTGTAGAAGTTGTAAAAATTTATTATTAATTCGTGTTAGAATTGATTTTAAGGTTTTTTAAGGTAGGTTTGCTGGGTGGAAAGTTGAAAGTTCGAGTATTAGGGTACAGCGTACGGTTTGTGTTCCAAGTATAATCATGGCGTACCTTGACGCTATGCCGTTCGGGGACCTAGCATAATGTTTTCGCTCGGAAATACTATGAACACAATACATTTAAATAAAATTCGTTATTTATAGTATATATAGTTATAGTTTCTCGGACTGTTATATCTCAATTTAAAATTTATTATACTGTTTAAATATTTCTTTTTATTTAATGTGTTATATAAGATTAGTTAATAAATTTGAAAATAATTTGATGAAGTATATATATGATATTTTAAGATAATGTTTAATTATCCACAAAATTTAGCATACAAAGGCTATAAAAGTGTTATAAAAGTATTAATTAAAAATTGTTTATTTTCTGCTTGTATACCATGTGCTGTTTAACATATAACAACAATATCAATGTTGCAGGATGGAAAAAATGAACCAGAACATGTCAGGAAATTATTCATTGGAGGCCTGGATTACAGAACAACTGACGATTCATTGAAGAAGCACTTTGAAAAATGGGGTGAAATTGTAGATGTAGTTGTAATGAAGGACCCGAAAACAAAGCGTTCCAGAGGATTTGGTTTTATTACTTACTCACGTGCTCATATGGTAGATGATGCTCAAAACGCAAGGTAGTATACTTCTTAAACCAGAATTCCTTAGCAGATTGAAAATTCACGATTGCTTCCAAAATTATAGACCTCACAGAGTGGATGGACGCGTTGTAGAACCAAAAAGGGCTGTTCCTAGACAAGAAATTGGAAGACCTGAGGCAGGAGCAACAGTGAAGAAACTGTTTGTTGGTGGTCTGAAAGATGACCATGAAGAGGAAGATCTCAGACAGTATTTCCAGAGCTATGGCAGTATAAATTCTATTAGCATTGTTACTGACAAGGAAACTGGGAAAAAGCGTGGTTTTGGTTTTGTGGAATTTGATGATTATGATCCTGTTGATAAGATTTGTTTGCAACGTAACCATCAGATACGTGGAAAACATGTCGATGTAAAAAAGGTAATTATAACTAACTAACCAACCATAGCTAACTATAACTAAGACTGAATTTTGTAACTTTGTAGGCTTTAAGCAGGGCAGAGATGGCATCTGCGTCTGGCGGTGGTGGTAGTGGAGTTGGTGGTAGCAGAGGGGGACAAAACGTGGGAAGAGGACCTCGAGGAGGTAATCAAGGAGGTGGCAATTGGGGAGGACGAGGCAGCGGTGGAGGAGGTGACTGGAATAATGGTGGTAATCAAGGTGGTTATGGTGGAGGTAATCAAGGAGGTTGGGGTGGTAACGGCCCCTGGGAGAATCAGAATCAAGGTAAAGGTTCGCAGAAAAAAGATTTTGTTTCACCTCTTTTTTTGTCTCAAATGCTATTTTCTCGAATTTAATATATATTTTACTAAATGTTATCAAAAGGAGGTGGATGGGGAGGTCAAGGTGGACAAGGTGGCTACAACAGTGGTGGCAATTGGAGCAACGATAACTTCGGAGGAGGCTACCAGCAGGGTTATGGCGGTGGCCCGGTTCGGAACAACTTCAATTCTGGAGGAAGACCAGCACCTTATGGTATTGATATGAGCATTAGTGGCCGACATTCCGGAGATTCGAAATGGCTAGCACCGATCGGTGAACAAGATTGCTTCCATCCTCCTCAAATGCCAAGGCATAGTGTGCTGTGCGCACCTTGAGCAACTTTTCTTTAGACTGCTGGCAGTACGATTGTGACACAAGTCATAATAATATGAGCGTTTACAGTACAAGTTGCACAAGGAGTGTCCAGTTTGGATATTTTACCTCCAATTAATTTGATAATGCCATACGAAGCGAGAAAATTACAAATTTTCTGGTTTCTTTTGGCTAGGTGCCTAAAGCTACGAGGAACAGCTGTTTCAACAGTTCATTAAAAATATTTCAAAGTATGATAAGATTATTTGAGGCTACAGTAATATTTATTTTTGCTGTTATCATCTTGCCCCAATATTTGAAAAGTGATCTAGATAATATTTCCAGTAAAACGTAAGTTATATTTAGAAGTACGGCGCAATGTTGAAGAGAAGAAGCGTCCTTAAGTTCAGGTTCTTTATTCTACGTAAATTTAGTTTGCTCGTTGTATCTACTATTATATGTTCTGTCTAGCAGAAAAATCATTATTTGCATTTATATCTTTTTTAATTTAATACTTGGAAGAATATTTGATTTCCAAACATTTAGTATTTTTGAAGGACGATGTTTAGAGTTGTATATATTTAATCCACGAAGTATGTAATCCATAATAGTTTTGTCACTATTGGTAATTTTTGCCTTTTTGTGATTTTTAGGACCAATGGGTGGTGGAAACTCTGGAGGTGGTGGTGGCGGTGGTTATGGCAACCAAGGAGGCTATGGTGGCAGTTCCCTAGGAGGTGGGAACATGGGAGGTGGTGGAGGTGGCGGTGGAAGGAGATACTAAGCACTTTATTCGCGGATACTCCCTCACATGGTAAGCATAATTCAATTATCTATTAAAATTCTGTACATTTCCAACACGTATTAGGCTGTCACTATATGATGAGAGTATAATAAATAACATTGAAAGTACAATACAGTGTATGTCGGACGACATGTGATTGAGTTGTACGGATTAAGGACTGTATGAAAATTTATTTTGCTTTACGATGGAGGTATTAGAGAATTTTGAACGCTTCGTTTAAAACCTTCATCATGTTTTTGTGTGCTAGCTGTGTCAAAAGCTACAATCATAATCAATTGCATTCTCGTGATATAGTATTTATGTAACAGTGGTACAACAGAGGAGAGGTTTTAGAACAATGGTGAAACTAGTAGTTCTCTGTTTTGTTATCATAGCTAACGAATGTTTTTGGTATACTCAGGCATACAATAAATCCATGTGTCTTCTAGTTTTAAATTCTATTTATGCACAGTATACTAATGTATTGTTAGGCAAGGAAACACGATAAAAAGTAAAGAAGGTAATACTTTTGATTCGTTGACATAAACAGCAAGAGATAATTTCACTTTCTGATTGATAGAAGACTTAAGCAAGATAGACTTCAATATTGTGAAATGTTTGGTATACAATTGTTTTCTGTCAAATCATCTCAATATACATATTCAACTTAGAGATTTCAAGGAATGTCCATTGCATCTTTGTTCAGGGCTTAAATTGTTATTACACAATTACTCTTTCTTGCCTTGTTACTTAATTCTGTAGTGTCTCGAGTAAGTCTTATCTTCATAATAAGGAAGATTATCACTATCTTCTTGTTTTGCGTCTCTTAAATTTTTTTTCTTGGAAATTTAAGAGTCCTGCATAGCGAATGTTGTTTTCCTTCATCCTAATAGGTATATTAGTATCAGATATATTAATTAAAGGATAAAAATTCTATAAAAGAAATGCAATATGAAGCAGCTTTCAAAATGCATATTAGAGAATTATGTTTCGTTCAAAATGCATAGAAATGGTAGAAAACAATAATAGAACACTTAGCTGAAAAATTGATAGATTTTTATAGTTTGAGTATTTCCAATCATCCGAACTAATAGATTTATGACTTTTAAACCTCAGGTGAACCTTCTACTTGTCTTCTAGTCGCCAGTACTATCTGTACTGTTTAGTATCGGAGCAGGCAGGGCTATAAGGCTAGAGACAAGACCAGGCAGGACAATCAGGATACAGGACAGAAAGAGAGAGAAAAAGAGAGAGAGAGAAGCGTCATCTGTTAGATCACAGTGAGGGAGGCTTTTGCTTGTATTTCATTTGGTATCTAGCACCTACTATATGTTTTACATATTTTACACTTATGTGAAAAAAAACCAATCGTATAATTTTCTAGACCCGTGCTTGCACGTATCGTGTGGCACACAAATGATATCCGCCAAGAAAACAGAGAAATGCAAACGAATTAACTAAAATGATTTTGATTAGTGTGTTTGCTGCTGAAAGTCCAAAGACACGTTGAAACATGATTCATCCACTCGGTTGCTATGTCTAGGGATACATCCGTGCCATCCAAAAAGCATCTCTATTCGCGTGTGCAACTGCGGCATTTTTCTTTTGTAAAATATTTAATGAAAACGAAGAAATCAATTAGCGGCAAATAGGACGATTATGCGGTAGACTTTGGAAAGCACGATTGTCTCTCTAATCTAGTGAAAGACGTTAAAATAGCGGTCCATGTAAGAATCTAGGTGTTTTACTACGTTGATGCAGAAATTTTTAATTTCGTAAGAGGAAGAGGTGATTCTTATACAGACCAAAATCTCAGGATATACAAAATGAAATGTTGTTAATATACGAAAAAAATGAGTATCGATGAATTTAAAGAAAAATTCAGATCTAGCATGAACTATAAATGTTGGTTTAGCATTTTCTTTCGTAGGTTACGCTAGAATAACGAATTATTTTTTAAGTTGTAATGTTTTAAGAGTTAGCGAATAAAAATGACCAGAACCTTTTCCATGTCACTGTTTCATTTTTGAAATAAAAAAGAAAATTGTCGATAGCATAGGAGATAAGTCAGAGTACAAGAACAACTCGTATGAAGTGCAAAACAGAATCTCTAGGAAAGAGCTGTTTTTAGCTAGATAAGGGCACACACATTTAATCGATCGCTATACAGGAGTAATTAACGAAAAAGTCTCTTTGAACCCTCACGTACGATAGAACAAACAATTATTTGTATTCTTTGTCGAAAACTGTGTAGTCGATGGAAGCACTATTATGGGCTTGATATATTTATATGTATTCACAGTATTAAATAATTTGTACATAACGCAAAAACCTGTGACCAATTTTATGTAGTTCTTGTAATATGTAAGATTAAGATGTTCGGATTTGTTGACGAAGGGATGCGTTGAACTCTAATGGTTCATCTATAAAGGCTATACATATTGTATATTGAAATGCGTACCACAATGGATTAACACTTTGTATTTAAGAACACTATGCAGAACTTTCATCAATAATCTTTTCCTTTGAACGATAAGAAATCTAACTTGCAATGAAATAAAATGATCTTAGGTTTAAACAGTTTCTCTGTAGTGAATGAAATTACCTTAAGTTCTCATTGGAATATACACCTATCTTTTCTTTTTAATTAGTAAGTAGACTCCTCGATTTTCTCAATTTCTTCGTATCCCTTTTTCTAATTAAATCCATTGTTTAGAAGGAATTAATCAGTGCTGCACCAATGTAGTCTTAATTATCTAGACAACTATTTACATTAGAGAATTGTGTCAGAGAATATCACTGATAATAAAAAGATTAACTTAAGGTCACGTTTTTTTGCGATTTCAAGGTTGTTTATATCGTTTTGAAATAGGACTGCACATTTTCATTACTCCGACTAGAATCTACCTACTAGGATAATTCTGAACAAATTAGGGTATTTAACGTGATATTATTATTCAATCGAAGTAATTATTTTACAAGTGGTTTGTTTTTTGTTCAAACATTCTACATTATTTTCTGATATTATAAGTAATTTTAATCTTCCTAGATATTGTGCAGCACTGATTAAGAAATAAAGATTTCATTTTGGGATTTCAAGTTTTAGTTCTGTTGTACATCAAAATTGATTTCCTTTGTTTTTCACACGAGTTCCTTTTCTAGCTTGTTGTCTCGTCACGCATTGAAACCTCATTCAACACGTTTACTCTGTTATAAAGTAAGTTTTTTGTGACTCGTTAGGTAGCGAACGTAAGGAGTAAATGATCAATTTTAGGTAGGTAAAACTTTGTTTACGAGCACAGGCCACTGTCACCATCGACAGGAGAATAGTCCACTTAGGTCGATCGGGCAGAGATATACAATAGTATTGAATATTAATAGTAAGAGTGAAATATGATGGAAGAAACTAAAGGCAGGCAGGTAGCAGAGCAAAAGGATGATACTGACACTGCGCAGCAAGCTAGGCTTTGCTAGGCTTCTCGCTAGCCTCTGTTGTACAACCACAGGTAGGAATAATAGATTCATTTGTTTAGATAATAGGGCAATGAATGGCAAAGTGTGCATGATACAATGTTTTATAATATTTCTGCTGAATTCTGCTGTTTCAATTAACAATTATTTTCTTTTATTAAAACAGACAGAGTACAAGTAAATTACATTGTTAGATCTTTGTTGACCCTTTTGCTATGACCGAGCCTCCCAAATAAGTCCCCATAAACATGGTAAAACATTCGAATCGTAGTATGTGTTTAATTAATTGTAACTCAAGTATTTTAATTGCAAATGATTCATTTATTTTTTCCTTTATTTAGAACTAAACATGCTTTTGATGTTGCAATATAGTTTATAAATCGTTGTGCTGCGGACAATTTTGATTGCTCATGGTAGCAAAAGGGTTGAAGTGAACTACCTTCAACGTACTATCAGTAAGCTTTGTCTTGTCTTGTGAATTAATATGTTCTATGAAAATGCTACTTTGTTCTCAATACACCAGTAGGAGAAGATCTGTCGTACTTTTAACATATCAATGATGAAAATGGGAACATAAAATTTTGCAGAGTATTACATAAGTTTCATTTATACAAGAGTAATCGATAAAACGATTTTTGATTTATTGATTGAGCTTTCTGCTGGAGAACTTGTGTTGTGAACTCTCATTTATTGTTTTATTTTATTGTTAGAGTATTGGGCATTAACATTCATTGTTTCAATTTTGTCTGCATTAAATAATGCCCAATTATGTATGAAAGTATACTAATTTATACTTTCATAATAAACACTTTCGATAGAATAAAATTGTATTAAATGTCAGTAAAATAATAATATGAACAATGAGGAAGTTGAAAGGACTTTGGCTTAACTGTAAAATATGAGTGTATAATAAGGAGATAGTAATTATTTTTGTTTCACATCATATGTATTAATTGCTATCTTTCGTTTTTATTAATTTCTGGTTTTTCCATTTGGGCTGGTACCCCCAGAGCGCTCCGTGTCACAACTGCCATAATCAGTTAGTCATCACGGGAGGTAAGTTGAAGCGAATCAATTTATTTTTATAATTATTAATAATTCTTATAGACTGATGGCTAATACTTAATTCGAAGATTTAAACAGGATTACACAACAGCTGAGAGAACAACTAAGGAATCATTGTTTGTGACGATGTGAGAACGAAATTAAGTATGAATGAATTGTGGTTTACGGTTCATTTTAAAATAAGTATGTTTGAAAATGTGTGTTATATTTGAGAAGAGAGCCCTAAAATTTAAAAATTATTCTTAGAATACCCCGAATTTAATTTTTTAAATTACATCATTATTTTTTAAGTAACATTATAAACGATTAATTACTTAAAAAAATAAACCTAAATTGCAATTCTTTTTCTCTTAATTTTGATCAAGGTATTGTTACAAAGAATCATCCCTTAAAAGATTATATGTAACTATATGATTTTTAGGGACCAAAGGACTAAAGTTTTAAATGACATGTTTTCCATTCTTAATTAAAAATTGTAAATAATACAATTCTTCCAGCAAAAATGACAAATATCGAATTATACATGGATATGTATACGTGTAGCTACGGATATGAGATTTATATTTTACCGAACAGTATTACAAGTTTAATTCAGAAGCAGTGAAAACTAGTTGCTAAACAAAACACAATTGAAATTTTAATCGAAAGCATGCGCGAGTCTGTTAATATTATTTAAATAGTATGCATGCGTATCATTTCTATAGTTAACATCAAGCAGTACAATATTTTTATTGAATTGCAATATATGTAGTTGTTCTTTTTAAAACACTTTTGTGCAGTAGATGTGCTCAAGATAAATTTAACCAGATTTTTGAAAATATTTCTACTAACAACGTCCGAGATATAATTTGATAAGGATTAATTGTTCCAGTTCATTTTCAGCAATGTAATTTCACTTGTCATCTTTTTTAAAGGATCCCAATAAATTTCTTGAACGCCTAATAAGTTTAATTCATTTTCACCTTTAGGTTCAGCTTCCTTCGCTGTTTACGTTGTTACTGACCGAATGATATCAATATAATTGTACATGTTAAGTCTGTTATAGAATAAGTGGTGTTCGAATTTTCAGTAATAAAGAACTTATGTAATGGAAACATCGAATGTTTGTTAGTTTATTATACCATGAAATAACCTAGGAGGAAGTTGAAAGTGGAGAAGAGAGAGAGAGAGAGAGAGAGAGAAAATTCGAAATCGCTATTTATGGGACATCAATTAAATTTGTGAATGAATTAGTACTTTCTATATTTTCTTATTAACAATAATTTTACAGAAGAAATTTACCGTACGCGTAACCAAAAATACGATTAAAAGGTATCAACAATATCAAGATACCTCGGTATTCTTCAATTGCAAATTATATATTTAGATTATATAGTATATTTCTTATGCGATACACAATAACGTAATAATCGGAATATCAAAATCACAAAACCGGGAAACCTATCGTAAATTGTTACTATACAAGATTGTAAAATCACAGACACATATTGTAAACCTGTTTACTTAATTGTAAAATGTCATTAAGCCAAATTTATCTATTTAATAATAAAATATCATTAAGTAAACCAGTGTAACCGATCCTGTGTAATATTATTTACCGAATAAAATTATATGTATCGTAAAACTTATTTCTCGAATATAAACAATAAAAGCTAACGACGCCCTATAACAAGCTCTATCGAAAATGTTCGCGATCATTGCATCCCCGTTAATTACAAATCGACCGTGATATTCACGCGACTCTGAAAATAAAACGGAAAAATGATTCGGACCGACTTTTTGTTTGTTTGTTTCGTCTCATTCGAAAATACGAATCTGCATAAAAATCCGCAGTATGAAAATCTTCAAACCGAAGACAACGTGTTCGTGTTCTCGGAAGTTTCGCTGGCCACGCTGTTGCACTGTTGCGCTTTCGTCGAGGCCCCGCCAATGGAGTTCGCCGAGACGCAGGAATGATTGATCGCCGATTTGAATGTCTCTTTGTAAAAGCAGAATTCACAGAATCCAGTTCTACCGTAAATCGGCACGTTCACCATTCCGTTGGAAACTGCGATGTTCCTGCAACAGGTAATTAACCGTTTCGAATTTGGCGATAGAAACCGTTCGTTATCAATTTTCACTCGCGGTTATTAACTAAACTTAAATGCTAGCGCAGGTATCGCCGCGAGGTTACACCCCTGTCAGCCTAATGCTTGGAACTGGCATAATCACAACATCATATGCATGTACATCGGTCTCCCACAAATACACTTAAGTACCCATTGTACTTCGAGCCTCCCGCCAATCCTATTTGTATAAGAGCGTTTAATGACACGTCGCTTCGATAGCCACCCTCCCTCGAATCGCTATTATTTCTTATTCGAATTTACCGAAGCATCGCGAAAATATATACACACAATTGGATTTTCCAAATCATTTCTGTCGGATTCAAGTCACCTGCATCTTTTCCCACGATTATGACAGAAGAGAGCGTGGCTTCCGAGCTTACGGGGGGAACGAACGCTGTAACAGCGGAGAAAGTTGAATTTCCTTGCCGAACTATAAAACACAGTACGTTCGCAAGCAACGCCGAAAAATCGGGACATTTCTCGACTTTTCGCGAGACTTTCCCGTTCGAACCTGCGCCATTTTGAAACGAGCAACACGTAAGGGTGGTTCTTCGAGCAGATCGGGGGTGGCCAAAGCGTCGAGCGCGTCGACCGTGATATTATTTATGTTTATTTTAAATTTAATCTTATTTTTCGCTCTAAATTACTACTTTTCTTATTTTCTCTGTCCACCCCAGGAGCAGATCATCCCCCTCGAATTAATCGCAGAAGAACTAAACGAGACGCTGAGGTTACAAAACCATGTCCGCTAGAATCGAGCACGGTCCAACGACGCGAACAATTTCCTGCAAGATTTCCATGACGGAATTTGTATTTACCGATAATGTTGATCGAGCTGCGCCTTCTCGATCCTTTTGTCTTTCGCGCGGCGATTCTGGAACCAGATTTTGATTTGCGTCTCCGTGAGCCGCAACGACGTCGCCAATTCGAATCTTCTTCTCCTGGAGATGTACTCCCCGCGGCGGTATTCCACCTCGAGCCTCAACGTTTGCTCGCTGCTGAATGTCGTCCTTTGTCTTCGAGGTCGGCCCTCTTTCCTCCTCCTACGCGCTACTGTCCACAACAGAAACGTTCGATTACGCGAGCTTCGAGAGGCCGAAATCCTTTGAATTTTCTCGGGCATGGCGTGATCCATCGCGCGCGCATTGTAAACAATAATTGTTAAATTACATAAACGAACGTACCGGCACGCGTGAAATCGCGTATTCGATGTCTCCGCGATAAACAGTAATGTCTCCCTTACTGACGCTCGGATTGTCCACTAAATTGGACAATTTGGGAAGAGGAGATACGATTATTCTAGAGCCTTGCGGCTCGTTTTTTTATAATTGTTCACAATAGGCGACTATAAAAATGAGCCGCGAGGCTCGAATAATCGCATCTTCTCTCCCCAAATTGTTCATTTTTGTTTACAAGCTGAAGGAAAATTACGCAGTATTTATTGTATATAGTTTCGAATCTGCATGATTCGTTAACGAAGAGAACGCGTTTTTATTCGATTCTGATTTATTGCGATCGCGGGTAGGCAATGTTTACATCGCGGAAAGATCGTCCGATGTCCAGTCGTGAATCGTTCCCAATTCGACGCCTAAGCGATACAGTAATGTCTCCCTTACTGACGCTCAGATTGTCCACTAAATTGGACAATTTAGGAAGAGGAGATACGATTGTTCGAGCCTCGCGGCTCGCTTTATAATCGTGGACAATTTATAACTATAAAAATAAACCGCAAGGCTCTCGAATAATGGTATCTCCTCTTCCCAAATTGTCCCTTTTTCTGGTCAATCTGGGCGTCAATTAGAGAGACATTACCGTATTCGCCGCCGTGTCTCGCGAACAGGTTCGGACGCGACGTTTATGTAATTGTTAGGGCTGCGGGAGAGGCTCCGCGTTTACGTAAGTTTTCGCGAAACGAGCGAACGGTTCCTTTGTCTGGCCCCGTTGTGGCGACGGCTTAAGAGGCGGCCGAATAGAGCCGGGTTAGAGGAAACACGGCAATGTACATTATATTGAGACGCGGCCAACTGCGTCTCGTAATCTCATCAATATCGCTACGAAGTGGCGAAGCGGAATACATCCTTTCAACACACGCGAGAACGTATGCCCGCTGTAATAATGCGACGCGCCGTTGAACACTTAGGTAAACCGGGGGAAACACCGAGCCCCGGAACCGTCGGAAAATTAGCAAATATTTTCGAGACTCGCGGACCATCGAATAAAACGGTCCCCGGCACACCAGTCGTGTCGGGGTCAATCGAATGTTCGTTGTCCCGTCGGCCCAACGGACCCTCGGCGAAATAAGAATTGTCTCTGTCCATTTGCTAAGAAACAAAATGTCGAGATTTCCTTACATCTCGAGCAATTTCGATGAGATCTGTTTAACGTCGCGTCGACGCTCGTGAATCGTTTTGCTTTTCTTGTTGTTTCTATGTTACGTCCATGAATCTTTCTTGCAAACGCGTCGAAATCTAATTATTCATATATAATTATTATTATATATGAAACGAGATAAATCGAATTGGTTTGGTCTTGCACGGTATCGCCGGCGCAAGGGATGGAAAACATTATGGCGGCTCTAAGGCGTTGCTAAGTGTAGCTTTATCCCTTTCCGAAAGAATTTTCACTCTGCTGAATTTGTTTGTATTCGAGGAACTATTCAGAACACGGAATAGCGTTCTTTTACAGACAAATTGGATAAATTTCGTGCGTGTAAAATTGAAAAATTATATGCGGAAACGCTATAGGCTGAGGGGAATGTCTTCGAATTAGGTTGATTCTAAAGTGGTAAGGGTCGATAAAAGTTGCTACCAATTATATGATATATATATCAATATATATTATTATATATATTGACATCAATGAAATTATGTGTATCAATATTGATATTAATATTGAAATGAAATATATGTAATATGTATAATATAATATATAATACATATAATATTGAAACGAAGAATTCAAGGAAAGATGAAGGATTCAAGAATCGAATTTTTAATGTGCAAAACTGTGATAACAATTTTCTAAAATATATCAAAATATATCATATATGTATATCACGATATTTTACAAAGAAAAAATATATATACATATATATATTGACTTAATATATATTTTTATAAAATATCCTGATATATACGATATATTTTGAACGATACGATTAATTAGAAAAAATTGTTATCACAGTTTCGCGTATTAAAAGAAGTGGACAATGATTGAAACACTTGATATCCGATAGTTTCACTGGAATAGCATGATTCCACGGATATTAATTCGTAATATGTACTCACAAAATGCTGAGAATCCTTGCAGATAGTGCTCCGGGGTCTGATGATAGGGCAAATTATGAAGATGCGACGAGTGCGTGGGCGGATACGTAATCTGTGTTAAATGCAGGTGTGTCAGAGGAAGACTGGGCACTCTGGGAAAGAGACCATGGAAGAATGGCAGCTTTAAACTTGAACTTTTTTCTCTGTCGTCGTTCATTAGCACGTCCGTTCCATTGTTGTCCTCCGTTTGCTCCGAGAGCGTTTCTTTGGAGTCCGGCACCTGTTCGAACGAAACATTCTTGAGTGAGTTGCAACATTAACTAATTTTGCGAGGACACCATGTCGTTCATTGAAATATTGCGATTTTTAATGCGGTTATTTCTTATTGATGTACTGTAATTCGCGACAGAGGTAACACATTTATTGTCGAACATATTTGACAATAAATTTCCATATTCGACTGTTCTTTACGAAGGAGATTCCAATGCAACTGCGATTAACGAAGAATTAAACAGTACGATGTTCGCAACAAATTCTTGAAGTTCTCTTATCCGAGGATTTTTTCCGCACAATGTTGCAACCGATGGGGGTTGCATCTATTCGAAGCTGTGAAAATTCTCAATGTCTTTAAATTGGCGTATTCGCTACAAAGTTGCAACCGATGGGACCATTAAAAGATGCAAAAATTCTTAACATTTTCAAATTAGGGTATTCCTTACAAAGTTGCAACCGATGGGACTATTAAAAGTTGCAAAAATTCTCTACGTCTTTGAATTCGACGATTCCTTACAAAGTTGCAACCCAATGGGACTATTAAAAGTTGCAAAAACTCTCAACATCTTCAAATTCGACATTTCCTTACAAAGTAGCAACCAAAGAGACAATTAAAAATTGCAAACAAATCCTCAAATTCAAGTACACACTCTTTCCACAGAAAAGCTGCAACAAAACACCTTTTAGTTGCAAAACAGCAGTACCAAAAATTGCTAAGACTTCCCGAGGACTGCGAATTCAACTCCCGAAACGAAATCGCGGCTGAGAAAATTACAAATCAAAAAGAGAATCGAAGATCACATCATCCAAAGAGCCTCTTACCTGTGCGGTACGAACATCTTCGGCCGCGTCGCCGTTTAGGGTATTCCTGGCACGGTGTTCCGGGTCCGCTGGCAAATCGTTCCTCTTCCCGCGATCATCGTCGTCGCTGCTCTCGACCTTCTCCTTCTCCAGATGGCCATAAATCCTAGCGAAAAATCGTCGCGGCGATGACGGCCCGTCCGTTTTCGCCGACATCTATCATCCGGCCGCAGTCAGCCCGCTCGCAACGATACTTCCCGGAGAAACCGACGGGAACTACGAAAGTTGAAACAAAACAGCGGCACGATGATCTCAAAGATGTTCGCGGATGAACCAGAAGAGGCCAGCCAGTCTCGGCGATCCGGTCTCAACAATGTCGATTCCTCCGCGTCCCGTCAGCATCGTACAAGAGTTTCACGCCGATTAACATGATCCTCCACAATGTTCAGACGGTGTACTGACGTCGTCGTCGCACTGCCACCATCCTCTCTCTGCCAATTATCACCGGGAAACCGTGTCTGCGGGGACCGTGGCGAAGATCGAGCGTGGAAAAACACGGCGGAAAAAATCGTGAATCGAGAAATTCACCGAATCGAAGAGTTCGGAGGCCCGGAACGAGCTTTTGAGAATTTTCGAGCGTCGTCGACGTAGCCCGGATGGAATTAGAATCGCTGTCGCTGTGGGCTGGCACAGGTGTTAGGCGTCCGTGAACGGCGTCCGGCACGGAATGGGGGAAAACCACTGTCGAGGATCGCGAAAGTTAGGGGTTGGTGAGCAGCAGCAGCCGCAGCATACGTAGCCGAGGCGGTTCTCCACCCTCTCCTTATGGCGGATATAGGTGGGAGGGATGCACAGTGGCCACGCCGCCCCCAACCCCTAGCGGGGAGCCCGGAAACCACCCCCATCCCTTCGATTTGCGATAATTCCGTTGTAACGCCTCTCTGTGAAAGGGCACCTGCGATCGCGCGCCGCGGCGACGGACCCGGGGATGGTTTTTTAATCGCGTCTCTGTCGCCGGGTAATTCGCCGTGAAATCAGCTATGTTGAACGTTTCGTATCTGTACGGGGTGGTGCATTTATCTGCAGACAGTTTAGCTATCGTGCGCGGCTACGTAACGCCGCGAGCCGCGCGATTCGATCCGGAGCGAAATGCTTTCCGGCAAAAATTCGTGGCTGCTCGATCGTCGTTTCGACGCTGACCTTAGACCATGTTTTGAGGCCGTGATTGCTTTTATCGGGGAGTAGGATTTAAGGGGAGGTTTCGTGATGCTGGTCGCTGCGCGATTTTCAAAGTGTACTGCGAGATCGTTGGTTCCTCTGGAAATGGTTCAGGTAGCAATTTTCTAGTATAACTGATGTAAATGGGAATTTACTGGTATAATTTATCGATTAAAATTTATTGATGTAAGAAATAATTGACTTTATACCGCGCCCAGGGACCTTAAAGGGAATTTCTTTACACTAAATTCGCATAGTTTTAGATATCGTGTAGTGGAAGTAGTAATTTATTAATGCAAGAAATAATTGACTTTATACTGTGCTTAGAAACCTTAAAGATGTCAAGCCTCTGCACTCGAATAGTGACTCTGAGATTTTAAACATTATTCAAATTGTAACACGCGAGACGGAAAAAGTTATTTCAGATTTATAGTTGAATCGACTTCGAGTTAGGCTTCGAGAAAGGGTTAAAAGGGCTCACAAGTAAATTATTCTTAATTATAGTAATTCCATTGTATAGAGAAACCTTGAATACTTATTACAAATTCGAACTTAATACGGTTTTAGATATCGTTTAATTATCGCTGTTATTTTTTTACGGCGATTCTCGTCCTCTCGACGAGAATATGAATTTTTTATCACGAAAAATTGACGCGGTTTTGAATTGTGCAGCCGAAAATAAGCGATGGGGTGCTTGGTGCATATCGTAGGATTAACGAATCGAATGGCCGTCCGAAAATAATGTCATCGGAATTACGAGCGGACGCGCGCGAGTTTGATTATACGAGTTTCAGGGTACTAATTAATTTCAATGATTGGGGATTTATTATTATATATAGAATTCATTGCTGTGTATTACAGCAATTTCCAATCGATTTATTATCACACGCTCCGTTTCGATTGTTAACGCGGCATGCTGGCGATTTAATGACGCGTTCCCGCATCCGTGATGCACTAATAAATTCGTCGATACCACCGTGGAAATTGTTTACGACACTTGCGCCAATTAATGGCGCACGCGAGTAAATTATACTTAATTATAATTCCATCGTACAGTAAAATATTATATAATATTTGTTACAAATTCGAACTGAACATTAAAACCTGAAAATATTGTACGTTTATATATTTAAGAAGAAATCTTTTTCGAGCGATATTACGATGCAGTTTCAGCTTGACAAATTTAAGAAAAATATCCCGCCGTATAATAATGTATAATAATTTTGTAATAATAATAATAACGTATAATGTACAATATAATAATGTATTTGTAATAATAATAATGTATAATGTACAATATGATAATGTATTTGTAATAATAATAATGTATAATGTACAATATAATAATGTATTTGTAAGATAGAATGTAGATATCAACTTAATAAATTTAAGAAAAATACAGTATCTCACAGTATGAAAATTACAATGAGGCAACATAATAATTATGCGCGAGGGTGTTAGCGAACAATTTGTTACAAGTTTCCAATTTGGCAGAGAACGTTGATTTAGCGGATCGCCTCCTCTAACAATGAGAGCTCGGGCATATCTCTCCCATATTAATCACAAGAGCACGGAAAAATATAAAATCGCGGTCTTTCAATATCTTGAGCTTTTACAGTGAACCGCACATTCAACAATCTACACTGGAATTCATTTCTCATACATCAATATCCCAATTGTTCGATCCCCCCGAGGGGCTTCGCGGATCCTCATTGTGTACTACTTATTTTCCTTTTATTATCATCCCTTCGCGTTTTCTCATCAAATTGCGATCCTTCTTTCCCGTTCACGCCGCTACCCCTTACATCCCCGAAAACAATGGCCGCGTTTATTCGCCGCAAACCCCGTTACCTAATCCCAGTTCACGAAACTCGAGAAACGAAATCATCGATTTATATATGTGCTTTCATGAATGTCGCGGATCGATTAGAATGTCCACGAAACGATTGGAAAATTGCTCGAAGATCTCGTCGACGAATTATGTTACTGTATATATTACATTGTTATATATTATCACTATATGTATATATTATTATTATATTAGTACTATATTATTACTATATTAATATTATATTATTACTATATTATTATTATATCAGTACTATATTATTATTATATTAGTACTATATTATTATTATTATATTAGTACTATATTATTATTACTATTATTACTACTACTACTATTATTACTATTATTACTACTTTGTCGCACTTTTAACCGTTCCAAAGTTTCTCAAATTCTAGAGAATCAACGAACAATAAATCTGGAAATCGTGCAAGCTATGCAAATAAAATTATTTCGCTAACAAAAATATCCTGCTAAATTTTCAATAATTATTAGGCCTTGAAGAATTAAAAAATAACTTCAAATAAATCGTCAGCATTCTGCAACGAATTCAGGGTGTCCTCATTTCTCAAAAAAATTCCTCGATCTAATAATTATCGAGAGAAGAAATGAAAATTGTCCGCGCCTGCTACGAACTTCGCAATTTGTTGTCTCGCTTAACAATTCTAATAGAACAAAGATAATTTGTACACGTTGAAACATTTCTTATTCTTTCCATTCTTCTGCTCTGTTTCAAATTGCGACTACCCATTCCCCCGGTGAAATCTGCTCGCCATGGACGAAGACAATGTCCACGTGCCATGATCGAGACGGACGAATTGTTCTCGCGTGTTTAAACAAAGTCAATTTTCAGGAGCACAAATTGCTCCAGGGGTATATTGACGCGTGTCTATGGATCGCTTACGGTTGGGAGACGAGTGAGAGAAAGAGAGAGAGAGAGAGAGAGAGGAAGGGAGATTGTGTGCGTAATGATTGTAATGCAGAACAATAGCAATCGCTCGGCGAGAATTAGACACCCTGACGTCGCGGCGAGGCCGGGGTGCGCACATGCGCGTCTCCCGGCGAATCCCCGTTGGTCCGGCCTCTAATTACATCGATTTCCGACTTGGCTCCGATTGGTCCGGTGCCTCGACTACCATTCTGCCGCCCTACCACCGGCGTTAATTATGATAGGTAATTTTCACGCGAGTATGAAGGAGTGTAGGATTATCCTCTGCGCAGAGACATGCTCGAGATATCCGGCAGCGGCTGGAAAATGGATGGCCGCGTTTAAAGATTTGCCGAGGACCCGACAAACAACGTAGTCTGCCGCATTCGAATCAACGCGACGCGTCGATATTCGCCACGAATTTATTTATTATTATTGACGGCCTCGCGAACCTCCGCGGCAATTGTTTAAACGATCGTTGCTGGTTTATAGTCGACGATCTCGCAAAGAGTCTCGCGGCTACCCTAATTTTCTACACCGTTTTCTTTTTTCTATATTTTTCACGTTTATCCTTTCGTCGATGACTTTTATTCGCGCGCACCGTGGCAAATATTTATAATTATATATGTATAATTATAATATTATGTAATAATTATAATAATAATTATAATTATATATTATATGTATAATTATATATATATTTATATGTATTTGTTGAAGTATTTAAGAGAGTACAGTTAATTTTATCCGTCGAGTAATAAGTTCGAACAATTAATTGACAATGATAACATTATTTCAACGTCATTTCATATGTTTTATTGATCAGTTTCTGTAAACTTTGTCGCATTCTAATTATAAATTTCTTTTAGTTTGTTTAAGAGAACCCCTTGCTGCGTGATCGATGCGAGCTGGCCACCATTTTGTATGCAGCCTGGAACCTCGGAATCTGCGAATAGACTGTAACGATCGTTCGAAGATATCTTCTCGTCGACGAAGAGTATCCGACGACTTTGAAGAGTCATTAAAAAATAGAGCCATATTGCAAGAAAATCCTCTTATACATATATTTATATACATATGGTTAAACATTTCGATGAGATGTCTACGTTGTTAACAATTGTTATGCAAACATCTGTTTAACATTAAATTGTTGCGTAGAAATAACAATTGTATTTGCACGTGTGCCGTATCGACGACATTGTGGCAACTATTATACGTACAATTTTTTAATCGGCGTACGACGCGTCCTAAGCTGTCCTAAGGGAAAATAATTTCAAGTCCCTTTGGCGCAGAGGATAGCGCGTTGGACTTCTAATCCAAAGGTCGTGGGTTCGATCCCCACAAGGGATGAATTATATACCGTGAGATGTGCAGGCGTGTTTTTCACGTCTCCGTCTTACATTTTTATTTTCCTTGTCGGTCTCGTAACGATTCTGTCATTTATATCTCGATTTCTGTTTTAATAATGCTATCGTAACTGGCTAATTGAATTGACGGGAAAATTGCATTTCAGCTGATGTAATTTTACACTGAGATAGAAATGTCCATACAGGAGACAATGTCTTTCGAAGAAGAGAACGTCTGTAAATTGTATGTATTCCATAAACAATTGAATTGAAGCATCTGTATACAGACTCAGTTTTTGGATATAAAAGACGATGTAATAAAATATTTTGAATATAACGAGTTGTTAATTAGACTTTCCTACATTGATACGATGTGTTAAATGGCAGCAAGGACCGCGCAAATATTAAATACTTAAGGAAATAACAATTAAACGGTCGAAAAATTAATGGTTCAAATGATTCATGCCGCCTTTGCCGTAAGAATTGATGCGGATAGCGGCAAGTATCATTTACTCCGGAAAATCGAGGAACAGCGCCATCTAGACGCGAAGCGCCCAAACTGCTCAACGATCAACTTGAAATTTCGTCTACTGAATGGTAAGTGAATATTGTAGGTGTCGCCACCTTGCGGCGGAAGGCTGAAACAATTCGAAATTTTCCGCGAAAATTACCGATCTTCGGTTTTGGCTAACAGTTTGAGCGTTTTGCCGCTGCATTGGAGTGGCGCTATTCGGCTGTTTAGGAGCAGCAGAATATTCGTGCCGGATTTTGCACAGCCTCTTATGGGACCAGCGGCACGAATCATTCGCTCCGAAATTCGATGTTGGAACACAAAATTGAAAATCGTTTATAACTAATTAATTGCAAGTCGAGTATGGAAAAATGATCGCTGGGACGTTGCCGGGGCCTTTTTCTGGGGTATCCAAGCGTCGGAGCGAAAGGAAATTCGTAATCGCGCCGGAAAATCGTGGAAGAGTGACTCGATCTCAAGCTTGCAGGTGAGAAACACTCGTATCGAGGAATGGGAAAAATGAAGCAATAAGAATTGCAGAGACGCGAGAAAGATGATGAGGAATAAATTAAACGATAAAGAACCCGTTATCCCGTAATACACTGTAATGTGTGGGAGTCTGCGATATTGTAATAAATGAAGAAATATATATTATAAATATATTATAAATAATATAACATATTATATAATATATATAATAATATTATTAATTAATAATAATATTAAATTAATAATAATATTATTATATAATATATTATAAATAATATATTATAAATATTACTTCTCTACTGGCCGAATACTTTACGCACACAGCACGAACCACAAGAGTTATGGAGAACTACAATTGAGATAATTACACAATTTTTCGATACGTTTTAGAAGATCAGGTAATTAACACGAAATTTCGAAAGGATTCCAGGGAGTATACTTTCTACTGTATAAACACGTTATGTAACATTAAATGATAATTAATTTATGACATTGGTGGCGTTAATAGCGTTTAAAAAAAATGCATTACAAGTATTTATACCTGTGGGATCTTTTTTATTGCCACGTTCCATGGGTTTCGCACACGTCCATGGGGCAACGTGTGTATAAAAGGTTTCTGTAATCAGGTGAACAGTCTACGTCGAGAGGCTCATCCCTGTTTCAAGGTGGGGGCAAAGTGAGAGTCGGTATAAAAGGTGAATTCTTTACTTTCGTGAAGTCACAAACGTGTCTGGACCCATTCGGCATCTTCTTTCCCTGCGACTGCAACATTTTTTCACGACATGAAGAGCATCGTAAGTGATCGATTTATTTATTAACATTTCCGTCTTTCTATTTTTTCTTATCCCCGTACGTTTCTAAAAATAGTTTCATCGAGGACAGCATCTTCTTCTCGATGCTGCTTCGTTTCCTTTTCAAATGTTGCAGCAATAAGTTCGCTATTACGGTTGCTAGTATAAAATATATCGTCTGATAACATTGAATATAAATAAATAAATAAAGTAAATAATAATATAATAAATAGTAAATAAAAATAAATAAATAAATAAATATATAACATTTGCAACTGTGCGTAAGTTTGTTAACACAACACGGCAATTTCTAACAATATATATATATATATTTATTTATATATATATAATAATATATTATTTATATTACTAGTATTATCGCAAATAAATATCGAAATACGTTGAAAAATTTCCATTACAAATGTTTCGACAAATATATATATAGAAAAATAGAAAAATAGAAAAATATATAAATAGAAAAATATCGGCGCTGTTATTGTCGCATCGAACAAGCAAACGATTGCAAACTAGAGGACGATGCTTTTCCATCGACGCGTTTCGAGATTGTTAGTTCACGGAAGAATAAGTTAACTAGCCGAGATGTGTGCGCCGATCGAATTGTCAATGGATCGGGTTAATTAATTGATCAATCGATCGGAAAAGTGAAACAAAGTGGAATCGCGTTAACGAGATCGGGAACTCTTCACAGGTCAGGAGTAAATGACCTCTGTTGGCATTTGCTTCTCACTTTCACTCATCTCGCTGCCTCTCCGCGGATGCTACAATGGGAATACCGTTGTTCGATCCTCTGCCCTACTGAAATTCCGTTTCATCTCCATGTAGGGTCGGCGCGACGTGACATTAACGGTGGTACACACGTAACCGTGTAAAAAAAACCGGTCGCTGTTATTTTCGTTTCCTCTCTTACGTAATTGATACGGAAAAACACGGTCGAATATTTTCAGCAAAATATTTAATTTATTACGCGTCGATCTCCGCGCGTTTCTCCATAAAAATGATGCCACGAAATGACGGAATAAGAGAGCAACGCGCTGCGGGGGGAACGTGTGTACGTGTATGGTCGCATTTTACTGTCGCAGGTTTTGGCTATGGTTTTGGGCCTGGCAGTGGCTCAGGACTCGAACTATCACGGCCGTCAGAATTACCACGACAACGACAGGCAACAGGGTCCTCCGGCCGAAGAGAGAAAACCCCATAGCACCACCCCCGTTCCCATACTGCACTGGAACAAACAGCAGGAGCACGACGGGACCTACAAAACGAGGTATACATTATTTATTCGTCGTCGACGGAGCAATATTAAAATAGTAGACAATATTAAAACAAGTCACGAATTTTTTAAAATTACAAATTTTTAAATTTCTGCAAATCTAATTTCGCGAACCCAATTTCGTACATTCACACAATTGCGTTAGACAACAATGTCTGCGGTTTCCGAGGTATTCGTTCCTCAAATTATTATTCTTATTAATTTTAATTATTAATTCTCCACGAGCAAAAAAAATGGCGAAGAAAAGTTACCAAAAATTAATAAAAAAAACATTCAGCAACGCGCGTGTCTCTCGACGGAAATCTCGACGCGATGATCGTCGAGAATTCGTCAAATCGCGACGACGTGATCGGGGAAATTACGCGGCAAGCAATTGTGTATGCGCGCGCGCGCGCGTGTCAGATTCGAGCCGGAAAGTTTTATCGCCGCGAGAAAAATCCGCGGCGTTTCCGGTGCCGGCCGATAATCGCCGGCCGCGCATAATCGCGAGCCACGAAATGTCAACGGCGAGTAGGAAACGGTGTTTCTTAATCGTCGGTTTAATGGTGATTATGCGTGCATTGTGCCAGCACTGCCGGGGTGTCTAGTTTCCCACAAATCTGAGACGGCGTGAAAAATGTATTCGCAGTTATGAAACGGGAAACAGCATCATCGCGGAGGAGAGCGGTTACATCAAGAAGGTGGGCGAGGGCGAGGAACAAGGAGAGGCTTTGGTCCAAGAAGGAAGCTACTCGTACACGAGTCCCGAGGGGAAGCTGATCACTATACACTACACAGCTGACGAGACTGGCTTTCACGCGACCGGCGATCATATTCCCACGCCGCCGCCAGTCAGCGAGGAGATTCAGAAAGGCCTCGACCTCATCTTTGCAGGCATTCGTCAGCAAGAGGTACGGCCTACGGGCTCCTCTCTTCCTCCGGCTACCCACCTTACTTTCTCTCCATTCAGTACGCTCCGATGGCGTCCAGGTAGCTCGACTTCTCTCGCTCGTCTCACCTTTGACTCCCCGGATTTTGCCGCCAGATTGCGCAACTGGCTACCCGATCGAAATTTTGGTGACCGATCGTCGGTGCTAATTTTAGGAGAGGAGACTTATGACGGTCGAGACGCGTCGGTCTCGATTTCTCCTAGCTTCCCCATACCGGGAACTCTCTGTTCCCATCGTTGCTATTTTTCTTTTTTTTTCAAGAACATCGTTGCACTAAGAATAAATAGAGGTTAGGGTTTGCTAAGTCTCGAAGCGAGGACCCTCGACGGCTGCAACGATGTCAATTAGGCAGCTGTTTTGTCGAAACAAAGTACCCATTGTTGCGCCGGAGGATCGGCTATCGCGGAAATCTGCGCGGAAAATATGTGAAATGAAATTGGCATTGTCAAAGAGCTTGCGAATCGTTTTGCAGGAGCAGGACGCGCGGGAAGCGGCGCAAAAGTTGCAACAGCCTCTGAACCAGCAGGTGGAGCGACGGGACAATTACGACCGGAAGTTCCGAAAATGAGGGGGCACCGAAGAACCGAAGTTCCGCTGATTGTGCGCTCGACATGCGGCGGTGGTCGAGAAATTTTTTATTGTCTTCTTTTTTCGTTCTTCTTTATCGAGCACAGTAGAATGTTTCTACGTGGGCACAGTATTTATTCGTAAATTTGCTCGATTATTTATTGCGCGAACATTCAAAAGTTCCGAACGGTAAACGAGCTTCCTCATTTGTATTCATTAACGCCGCGGTAACCGTCTGTGTTTTTTTTTCTCTACACGATCATTCATATTAGATAGAGATATTGTATATACCTTTTTTTTTTACTCCTTGTTTTTTCTGTTTTTCTTTACTGTTATTGCTCTCATTGTTCAGCTTACGAATAATCTGCCGCCTCGTTGCCGCCCTACCGACGACCACCCCTGCACGTCGCTACTAGGAGAACCAATAATTAATTTCTTAAATTAAGGGCAACATAACTCTCGATGAATTTACGCGTGTGTATCGTTTTCACGAGAGAGATAGACACACATACACACACATACACACGATTAACAATGCGATTGGTTCGTTCTCTTCCTCTGTGTTCTGTAAACGAGAATATCGATCGCGACATGGAAACTTGCAATAAACGATACCACGTGGTTTACGTAACAAACACGACCGTCGTTGCGTGAACATCGTTATATATATCCTTCTACCGTCTTTTCTGTTATTTAATCTTAATTTCCGGTCCTCCGAGATCGATATCTCGGTTTCGCAACACTCCAAAACCCGATTTATTGTTCGAAAACCGAAAGAACGGGAATTATCGAGGATATAATCTACGGGAGGGCTGAAGGGTATCCCCGGCCGCTTCCACGGTGGGCGATGAGTCATCGAATTCCTGCTTCACCGACCGTCGCGCGCCGTAGATTCCGACATCACCGACCGAGCATCAACCGACCGAGGTTCAAGAAATAAATCCAGCCACCTGTATTACAGCTCTTTTTAATTCGTTCGCGTGTCGTCGAGCGTCTAGAAGTACAAAAAAAAAGAAATAAACAAACGACCCAGATCTTCTTCACGTCGGGTCACCGTGGTTCTGTTAGACAACTACATATCGCCTAAATTACGAGTTAAAATCATTTTGATATCAAGTGCCTGCTTGCATCTCGCGGTCGCCTTAATGCTAACGGAACGATATTATTATAAATAGTAAAGTTGTTCGATATGGCACCCAGTGTTATATTAACAACAACCCGAGGAAACGTTCGACGATATTTCCATCCTCGACCTTCGCCAAGATTTATTTACTGTTGCCGTCTGTATCTCTCGCTGCCTCTCCTGGGTCGTGGCGGCGACGGATCGTACGGCGTCCCGGAAAGTCCCACGAACTTGTTGTTCTTCTGGTGAACGAATCCGCCGCCGGCGCGCGGGTCCGTTTTGTAATAAATCACCCGCCTGATGCCGAACGGATCGACGTAACCGAACGAGCCGACGTTGCCGCCGGTCGGCTCCTGTTCCTCCTCGTGGTACTGCCGTTTCAGGTAGTACTGGAACCCGTTCGCGGTGCTGTGCGTCCCGTCGTACGCCGGGTACCCGGCAACAGCGCCGCGGGACACTGGCGCAGGCACCTGATAGTCGTTCTTCAGGCTGTCGTAGCGAGCGTTGTCGCCACCGTCGGACCGTTGCAGCAGGTTGTAATGGCTGCCGGGATGTTGCGCGAAACCCGCTCGATTCGTATCGTAGTAGGCTCGCGGTCTGGCGGTGGTGCTCTCGTAGTAGCCGGAGCTTATGTCGTTGCCCACTAACGGGGCGGCGCTGGTCGGCTTCCAGTGCCTGGAACGATCATTGTTGATTTTGCAGGTCTCGCGGACTTTTTAATTTGGTTCGTTGGTAGACAATATTCGACAGGGAACTATGTACCTGTAAGGGTTAGGTGGTCGGGCCGGGTCCACGAGAATTCCCGTCTGAGGGGGCGCCCTTTTCGTCTCCGCCACTGCGTCGTAAATTGGCCGGTCTTTGCCCACGTACACCATCTTCGACCTAATTATATTAATCTATATTAATATTAATATTACAAGTTAATATTATAAATAATTTTGAGCGATAGATTGCTTCGGGATCAGGTTTCTTTTGGACAAAGGCGATGAACCCTTATATGAACTTATATCAATAAGGGTCGTAAGGACCCTATTGTAAGGGTTGTAAGGGTTGTAAGGACTGTAATTTGAATTAGCGAGTGATTCAAGTTCTACCTGAGGATGCGGAATCCATTGCTATCGGCGACGTAATCTTTGAGACGCAGGTACCCCAAAGGGTCCAACCAGCCCTCTGTACCGATTACAGTGCCATCTACCAGCCTCTTCTCCTTTCTGTACTGTCCGTTCAACGTTTGGTAACGAAAGTGCCTTTCCGGACCCTCGTCCGTCTGAATATGGTACTGAGTGTTTGGGACGAAGCTCCAGCCGCTATTGTTATCTGCGCTTCCAGTGTTCAAACATAATACTGTTACCTGCGGCAATACAGAATGCGAACGAATTAATTCCGGATTGATAACGACTGGAAGCGATTAAATATAGTTGAACAAAATTGTAAATACAATCGATTGTTTATCTTAATGTTGTTACACGGTAATAACAGCGATGAAATGTAATTATGAATAATTATTTGTAAGTATAATGGAAATGTGGCATGATTATAAATATGAAATATAATAGATGTAATAAATATAATAAATATAATCAATATGATAAGTATAATATAAATATAATCAATATGATAAGCATAATATAAATATAATCAATATAATAAGTATAATATAAATATAATTAATATGATAAGTATAATATAAATATAATCAATATAATAAGTATAATCAACATAATCTGTATATAATAAATATAATCAACGCAATAAGAAGAAATATAATAAATATACTAAACGAAATAATTTGAAGAAATTGTGAAAGCAATTTATGGCGACCAGCTGTTCGAGGTGCGTTAAAAAGTCACATCTAATCGACGCCGAGGGTCGTCGAGTGGGCAGGGCCGGTACGTTTAACGAGATTTGTAGTTCATGGATGCGATCATTATAAATAATATCACGGACTCACGGTAATTATGGAATGAATCAGCGTCACTATAAATAAGTGTCTCATCAAATGGGCGACACAGTAATAATGTCAGGCCTAGGTGCGCTTAACATTCATTGCCAATGTTCAGTTCCTACTTGAGAGAGCGGCCTTCGGTGTTAATATGCATGCGTAGCACGCCGCGTTAATGATTCGTATGCCTCGATTAGCAAACTTTATTAAACCGCTCGGATCGCGAACGAACGTTTCGAACGCCCGGGCATTCGCATCTTTATTCTTGATTGACTTTCCCTGGAATATTTTCCTTGCGTAATCAACAATGGCTTGATTTATTCATAAAATACGATCTTCTTCGAGACGAGTCGTCGTTTCGACGGCAGACAACGAAGGACGAGAAGTCGGTTTAGTTCAGTAGCGTGGTGTTTTAAGTATTATTCGTCGCATGAATGGGACACGCAGATGCGCGATATAGGACACGCTACACATCAGGAACGACATTACGCAATACGGACGCGGCGATCAATGGAACCGGGTGTCTTTGTTTTCTTTCGTTTTTATAACGAGCCCGACGGGTTGCATTAGACTCGTCGGCCGCAGGCGAGATGCGTAACCTTCTGTGCATTCGATGCAGAGAGGATGCAACAATTGAAGGCCACGAAATTGCAATAATTCGTTGTCGTTTCGATCTTTCGTAACGTTCGATTTTCCATCGCGGAAGTATCCTCTTTGCGCGGAGGAAATTATCGTCGTTGGTAGCGGAGGATTCACGCTTTATAACGAGCCCACGAAGATCATCGTTCGATTTTTATTCGCGAAGTTGCAACGCGACGAACATTACGAAACTCTGACCAAAGATTTAGCGATACTTCTATTTTAGTCGTTCACACTATTGAATTTTCGAGAGCGGAAGAATTTTTTCTGAGGAAAATAAATTACCAGCGTTGAAAGTAGAGACTTCAAGCTTTAAAATGAGTCTACGGAGATTGTCGTTCGATTTTTCTTCACAAAATTGCAACACGTCAAACATTAAGAACTTTTACCAAAGATTTGCCGATTCTCCTATTTCAATCGCTCACTCTATTAAATTTTCGAGAGCGAAAGAATTTTTTCTGAGGAAAATAAATTACCAGCGTTGAAAGTAGAGACTTCAAGCTTTAAAATGAGTCTACGGAGATTGTCGTTCGATTTTTCTTCACAAAATTGCAACACGTCAAACATTAAGAACTTTTACCAAAGATTTGCCGATTCTCCTATTTCAATCGCTCACTCTATTAAATTTTCGAGAGCGGAAGAATTTTTTCTGAGGAAAATAAATTACCAGCGTTGAAAGTAGAGACTTCAAGCTTTAAAATGAGTCTACGGAGATTGTCGTTCGATTTTTCTTCACAAAATTGCAACACGTCAAACATTAAGAACTTTTACCAAAGATTTGCCGATTCTCCTATTTCAATCGCTCACACTATTAAATTTTCGAGAGCGAAAGAATTTTTTCTGAGGAAAATAAATTACCAGCGTTGAAAGTAGAGACTTCAAGCTTTCAAATGAGTCTACGGAGATCGTCGTTCGATTTTTATTCACGAAGTTGCAACACGTCAAACATTAAGAACTTTTACCAAAGATTTGCCGATTCTCCTATTTCAATCGCTCACACTATTAAATTTTCGAGAGCGAAAGAATTTTTTCTGAGGAAAATAAATTACCAGCGTTGAAAGTAGAGACTTCAAGCTTTCAAATGAGTCTACGGAGATCGTCGTTCGATTTTTATTCACGAAGTTGCAACACGTCAAACATTAAGAACTTTTACCAAAGATTTGCCGATTCTCCTATTTCAATCGCTCACACTATTAAATTTTCGAGAGCGAAAGAATTTTTTCTGAGGAAAATAAATTACCAGCGTTGAAAGTAGAGACTTCAAGCTTTCAAATGAGTCTACGGAGATCGTCGTTCGATTTTTATTCACGAAGTTGCAACACGTCAAACATTAAGAACTTTTACCAAAGATTTGCCGATTCTCCTATTTCAATCGCTCACACTATTAAATTTTCGAGAGCGAAAGAATTTTTTCTGAGGAAAATAAATTACCAGCGTTGAAAGTAGAGACTTCAAGCTTTCAAATGAGCCTACGGAGATCGTCGTTCGATTTTTTTGTACGGAGTTACAACACCCTAAATACGAACAAGTTTTCCTCCAGGATTCGATGTTGCTTCAATTTGAACGTTTTAATTGTATCACTATACCTGTCGCACGATGATTCTCCGGGACCCTGACGAGTATTTATAAGTACAGAGTCACACCTTACGTTTCAAGCACAATGGAATGGAACAGCTACAGATCACGCATAGCGATCCTGATCTAACTGATCGCATGAAGAGCGCATGACACGGCAGAATCGCATAACGTATAAGAACGACGAACAGGCATCTCGCTAAACCGCACGCGTTGCCGCAACATTCCCCGCATGATTTACCGCAAATCACTTCAGGTGTTCATCTTTCTCGCGATTAGAATGGAAAACGAATATAAGATAGTTGATTACCCATTAGCGTAACGCGGTAGCTCTCGCGCCGTTTTTATTCGTATCTTTGGGGCATTACACACCTTCCCTTACGTTCACCTAATCGCTGCACTTGCTATTAACCCGCGGAACTGTTACTATGCATAACAGAAACCGACAGACAGTCCTTTCTACAAGGAACTTCGTTTTTATAAGATTTCCATTGAATTTTTCAACAAATCGTTTGGAACACAAAAATCAATCGAGTAGTTTGTTTATTTAGCACGATTTAATCATGAAGAAGGCGTGTGATAATGTATTTTGTTCTTTTTTTGAATCGTTAGTATGTTAACGCAGACTTCTCATAAAGAGAGAACATATTTTATGCTATTCTTAATTAATTAAACGTTCTAATTGGAAGTTCAAATGGTGAAAAGTATCAAAGTTATTCGTATAAATAAATATAATTAAATATTTCTTTTGTTCACGAGGCGTTCTCTTTATTTGCCACGAGAAATGATTTTCAATTGTATAATTATAGCAATGCGAAAATATAGGTGAAAGACACTATGGTCGGAACCTACCGTGAGAAAATTCAGGCCACTTAGTATCCAGAGAAACATAATCGTTGGAGTATCGAATCGGACTTGTTACAATCCTATCACCATCCTTCTCTCTCCCTATAATATATAGTCTTCCTCAGAACTGTCTATAAATCGACAGCGCCATCTGCCGTCGTTTTACAATGCAACGATTAAATTTACAATCGTAATACTTCACGTTATTAAATTCTCGTTGACAAAATTAATCTCCTCGTTCCTCACCGCCGAGGATGCTCACAACTGCCTAGAAAAAGATAATCGCACTACAATTACAACTTTTATTGTCGATTGCAACCGATGCTTTATTTTTGTATTTCTTCATTTTTCAAGCGATATAATATCCCAAGAATCGATTAAACATTTACTGCAACGTGGAAAAGAAACTGGAGCAACGAAGAAATCGATTTCTCTGTGCAACAATGTCAGCGAATCCGAAACGATCTACATATGTATTTATAATCTGAGAAATTCCTTCGATCTTCCACTGTTTAAATTACTACACCCACTCATTTTTTCCGAATAAAATGCGTGAAATCTGCGATTTAAATTGCAAGTCGTCGGCGTGTCTCGGTTCTTTTACGGTGGCGATTTAAATCGGCAATTTCTCTACGGGTTACCATACCATGGGACGAACTTCCCAACGGATTAAATTGTGCAGAAAAATAGCTATCGATATATATATATCGATAGCTATTTTTATATATATATATATATCGATAGCTATTTTTATATATATATATATATATATATATATATATATATATATATATATTTTTATATATATATATGTGTGTATGTATAAGGTGAGAAATAAGAGAGAAGGAGGTACTAGCACCGTGTGGATGAAAGCAGCTCGAGTGCCGGCGAGGCGAACACAAACAGTGCGGCGCGGGAACTGAGTTCTCGAATGGGCGCTTTGTGTTTTCAGAGTATCGTCAACCATTCTATGGATCTCGGATCTTTCCTCGGGGGCTTATCCCTACCTCTTCAAGGTGCCAGCGACGTTTTTCCCGTCCGGTAGAACCACACCTATCCACACCGTCGCGCGTTCGATCACTCTACTTACATTTAAAAGCCGCCGCGCCGCCGCGAAGAGGCTCATTGTTCGTTTATGACGTTGTAACTTCGCCGGGGAAAAAAATCGCGGGACAATGTGACTGGGCTGGTTTTAAAGGGGGTACCTTCTTCTCTCGACCACGCGCAAGCCGTTTCTCACTTGGGACATTTTTTCGCGGCGGATTACATTTCGTATTGGCGACGATCGAAATCGGCGGATCATCTGTCGACGATGCTCGATGTTCGAGGTGTTGTCACTTTGCGGGAAAAAATCGCAGGACGATGCGCGATAGCTCGTTTTAACGTGCAGAGTTTCTATTTTGGACGAGCATAAGCTGTTTTGTCTTGAAAAAATTGTTGGGATTAGAAAATTTAATATTAGCGACGATTGATATTTGACGATCAGCAAATCATCGGTTGACGATGCTCGATGTTCGAGGTGTTGTTACTTTGTGGGAAAAAATCGCAGGATAATGCACTATAGCTTATTTTGAAGAGCAAAGACTCTACTTTCGGTCAACGTAAGCTGTTTTCTCTTTAAAAATTTTCTGGAATTAGAATACTTAATAATAGCAACGATTGTAATTTGATCGTCCGTTGACGATGCTCGACGTTCGAAGTGTTACCACTTTGCGGAAAAAAATCGCAGGACGATGCACGATAGCTCGTTTTAACGTGCGAAGACTCTACTTTCGATCAACATAAGCTGTTTTCCCTTGAAAAAATTGTTGAAGCTAGAAAATTTAATATCAGGGACGATTGATATTTGACGATCAGCAAATCATCGGTTGACGATGCTCGATGTTCGAGGTGTTGTTACTTTGTGGGAAAAAATCGCAAGATGATGCACTATAGCTTATTTTGAAGGGCAAAGACTCTACTTTCGATCAGCGTAAGCTGTTTTCTCTTTAAAATATTTTTGGGCTTAGAATATTTAATAATAACAACGATTGTAATTTGATCGTCCGTTGACGATGCTCGACGTTCGAAGTGTTACCACTTTGCGGGAAAAAATCGCAGGACGATGCACGATAGCTCGTTTTAACGTGCAAAGACTCTACTTCAGACGAACATAAGCTGTTCTGTCTTAAAAAAATTGTTGAAGCTAGAAAATTTAATATTAGTGACGACTGAAATCAGAAGGTTAGCAAATCTTCGCACGGCGATAGTCGATATTCAGACCGTTGCAACTTTGCGAGAAAAAAACGTAGAACGATCTACCGGAGCTGATTTTATAGGTCGGAATCTCTACTTTCGACGCTGCTAATTCATTAATTTTTCTCGCCAATAGTTTCGCATAGGTAAATCGAGATACCGACGATTCAAATTCGAGCATCGACGAATCGCGGTCAAGAGCGGGTTTGATCAAAGCGATCGTTCGGAAGTGGTTTTAGAAACCGGTCGCGGCTGTTGGCACACGCAAATTATGTCAACAGAGTCGGCGGGCACTTTTTAATTTCTCCGCGCGATCGGCGAATCAATTCCGGTGAGAAAGACCGTTCGGATCGCCACGGTATCGGCAGCGTTGACGCTACGACGAAGGTATTTCCAGCTGGTTTCGGCCGGGGAACGTCGAAACGATGAAAGTTGACAAGTATTATCAGAATCACATATAAGAAAGCCCAATTTATCCTCCGGCAGCGATCTGTCGGTCGAGTTTCACGATCATATTTTCTCCTTGGCTTGCATCGCTTTCACTTTTACGAGCCGAGAATACCGTACACACTGAATGAACGTGCACGTGTGTGTGCGCGCGCGCGCCACACACACATACAGGTGTACCGGGAGCGAGCAACGCACACAACCACGAAACCATGACAATCGCGCCATTAAACTGTCTTTCGTTGAACTAATTGCCGAGAGCGCGACATTGTTTCAACAAATGCTTCGACAGAAAACGGGACAGCCGTTGAACTCTCGAGACGAATGAATTTAATTGCCTCGTCTCGAGAGGCGACGGAAAATTTTGAGAAAAATACACGATGTAGAGCAAAGACGCGGCTAATTTTTGCACTTGGTCCGGTTCGATTATCTTCTATAGCGATCGAGAGAAACGATTACGAAGTTCGGGTAAGCGTCGCTCGTTTCTAAAATCGACCCTCGAAGAACGATCTTTTTTCTGTTCGCGTAAAAGGGCCCAAAAAATTTTGAGAAAAATCTATAATTTCGGCGAGAGATGCGGTGAATTTTTGCATTTCGGTCCATTCGGGTATCTCGTACAGTGATCGAGAGAAGTGCTCGCGAAGACGACGATAAATCCGGCTCCGGGGGAAAATGAAAATGTGAAAGACTTGGGTCGCTCGAATTGTTGCTATTAATTTGTGAAAAATCCGAGTCGAGGTGGCCACGGCATTTTTCAAAATGGCTCCGCCACGGAGCCTCTCACTGGCATTCCCCGGGCTGCCTTCACGGTAGTTATCTCTTCGCGGTCGAAGACTCGGCGAATAATGGCACACGGCTGCAGTGTCTTCCTGTCTAATAATCGAGAAATCCTGGATTCCGAAGTGCGAAAAAAAAACAGAGAGAAAAAGAACGGCGCTGCCATTTAATATTCACAGTCGCCTCGCGCCTTCTCGTTCGCCGGCTGTATCTATGTATTTACAAAACGAACAATGGAGAGGCGTTGAGAAAAATTCTCATGGTTTATTGGCAACGAACAACTGCCAGGAAACAGATACAATCAAAATATTGTAATCTCTGTCAACGTACTTCCATGTCGCACGTTGTTGCAGTCATCGCGCATAGAACTTATCATAATAATTAACGGTTCCCTTATTCTAGTCGCTGAAGAACATTAATTGCTGCGTTGCCGGCTAAATGTCAATGTTAAGACGTTGCCGTCGGTTAATATTTTTAAAGTCGATTTTTCAACGATCGGTGATCTCGCGAACGATTTTTCCTTATTTCTTTTCTGTTTTTTCTTTTTTAATGCTATAATGCTGTATATTAATTGTATAATAATAGTGATATATTAGTCGTATAATAATAAACAAATATATAATAACACATAATACGGTAATTCTATGTTATTACTAATATTCGTTTATTATCTTTCATTTCACTATACGCGTTTCAATTCACGGTCTTCTTATTCGTCCGATCGCGTTGGAAAGAAGCGTATAATTACACAGGAAACAATCGTACGCGTATGCGAAAGAAGGGAATTAATTGATGTACGGTAAACTAGTGTTGCCAGTCCATCATTAGTCCATCGACTTTCTTTTTTGCATTGATAATTAGCGACACGTGCACACAGACCAACCGTGCAACATCGTGTACGGATAAACAACCACCGATCGAAAGTTACTGAAACTTGTCACATTTTCGAAAAAGTTGCTGCGGATCGAATTACAACTGAATGCAGAAGTTCGGAAAGACTGTCGCTTTCGCAAAAGTGCTTGAAACATTTTTAGAGGAAAATGTCGATGGAAACGTCGAAACGAGACGCAATTTTGCTGCGATTAAAATGACAATCGAACGGAGAAGTTAGGAAGTACCGATAAACAAATGAAATCGTCACGATTTAAATGAGATTATGCTACGATAAATCGTGAATATAACGAACAAAAATATTTCTGATATTACCGGTGGAAACGATTAGAAAAGAAATATCGAATACATATATTATTATCATTATTATATATATATATATTATTACTATTTATATATTTATTATTATTATTATATTATATTATTATATTATTATTATTATATTATATATATTGTGCCATTATTATATATGTATATTATATTATATAAATGGCACAATATAATAATTATAATATAATAGTAATATAAAATAGTAGTATAAAAAAGAATATAGTAGAATAAAAATAGTAATATATAAATAGTAATATAATAATAATAATAATGATATAATAATTATATATATGGCACAATATAATATATGTAATAAATATAATATGTAATAATGGCACAATATACATAAATATAATATAATAATATAATATAATAATAATGATATAATAATAATAATAATATAATATGCGAATGCAATAAGACGACAGCAAGAATGGTGCAACAATAGCGTCTCGATAAACCTGTCAATATTTTATCGAAGCTTGCCGAGGCGTCCGGTGGCTCGCGATTTTTAGCATTTGACAGCGAGCATCCGATTAGCGTTGATGATAACTCACCGCGAAAGACAATGCCAGTGGTCCCGGCCGCATTTTCGCGGTCGCAAATTCGTTCGATGATATATAACAGAAAATTTCGTTCTCGTTTTTCGCCGGGATCCAGAGAGGAATCCTTTCGCGCCTAATAACACCCGATGACTGATCCAGCCTCTGCGAGCCCGCATTCGAATCCATGCTCAAAGGCCTACGTGAACAAGCCTGGCAGTCCGTACTTGGCGGAGTAGGCCGGACCTACGCCTTCGCAATTTTCCTTTACGGATTATGATATGGTTGGCTATTTAAGGTATGCCAGATCTGGACATAAATCGTTTCGGGACACGGAACAGAACGGTACACCTTGACATCTTTGCTACGTCCAAGTTTTCGTCGTTCTGGGAACGTAATGTTACATGTATATCTTGTGTTACGGCATTTCGCGAGACATACGTTTTGCTATTTCCACTATTATTATCGATGACAGCGTTTCGTGTTACCGTTATCGTTCTATCGGTAACATTTTTATAATATTTATTTTGTTTAATGTCGTCTATGAAATAGTGTTTCATATATTATAGATTTTTCTTATATAGATATTTATGTTATAGATTATATTATATAGATTATACAGATTATATTATATATTATATAGATTAATAATTATTAACTATATATTATATAGATTATATTATATATATTATAGATTTATATTATATATATAGATATAGATTATATTATTATATAGATTTTTAATATATCATACGTTTTTGTAATAATATTTATTGTTTTAACGTCTTCGATAATAATATGTTATATCGTTTAATATTATATTGCGTCATTTTAATCGGTAACATTTTTATAATATTTATTTGTTTAACGTCGTCGATAATAGTATTTTTTATAGTGATTTTTAATATATTATACGCATATTTTAAAATGATATTTATTGTTTTGATGCCTTCGGTAATAATATATCATACTGTTTAATATATTATGTCATTTTATCGGTAATATTTATTATAGTATCTTGAGTTTTAATGTTTTACGTTGAAATAATAATAACTGTCGATGATTTGGCGAAAATTTGTTGCCTCTATTTGGCAAAAGTTTCAAAAATCGAAAGGAGGGTGAGATTTTATTGATTGATACTCTCTGCATTACCAACACAGGGTACACTGGGATCGGTTGCAATTGTTTAAAAATCTCCACATTGCGCTTCTATTAATTATAATTACATTGATCGGAAATAATATCCCTTTGTAACACGTTTCGCCTGGAGAATCGGGTAATAAACATTCGTTTCATGAACAGACATTTATTTCGCAATACAATGATTCGTAGCAAGATTAAAAAATAGTGTTTGCTTAAAATATTCAAGCTGCCGACGCGGCTGACGTTAACACGACGAATAAAAAAATATTAGAAAATAAATATTCTCCGCTTATTAAAATGTGTCGTAGAACCAGCAGTAAAAAATATATAAAAATCATTTATAATAAAATTCAAACTAACTCTACTGTATTTTCAAAAATGGAATGTAACATTTCTATCTGTTCTCACGACCATCGGAAATCATCGTACCGATTTTTACAGATCTGTTTCGCTTTCTTTTTTTCTCTTGGCCAGCTATAATTTTGCAACGTCGCACTAATTTAATTTAAACATTCTTTGGTTCAATTTTTCAGAGATTGCCCAATGCTCAACGACAATTTCCAATACTCGACCTTGACCCTTGTGTGCCTGCGGCCTCTTTGCAACGGCTGGGCTATCGTGAACAGTAACAATTGAGTATTAATCCGGATATAGAGACAGATAGCGAGCAAGAGAGAGAGCCTAATTTTGGGATCCTAATTCAGCATCGCGATCAGAAGTCTTTTCCACTCGGCTGTGCAATCGTTCTGGAAAAAAGAGAAGACACAGGTGTTCTCGATGCACGTCACACTGATTAACTGATAGTAAATGAACAGCTCTCCGTTGACCAACGTGCAGATTTTTATTAAAAAAAACAAGTGGTACAGTTACGTGGGATTATTCACGGTATCGAGGTTAGACGAGCTCTTATAGAGAGCAGAGCCCTTCCATGACTTTCGTTAACACAACAGTGCGATCAGAAGCCGCTTAAAATCGTCGCCGCAGTCGTTCTGTAAATGCAAACAGATTGTAGAGAGAATTAAAGCAACGCCAATGCCGAGAACGTTCTAGTATAATTCCCTATTTCATTCTCGGGCAATGTTAGATTTCGTTCTCCGAGCCGATTTTAGTACAGGGTTAATATCGAAAGTCGCGCCATTTTCTGCGGCGTCGCGCGGGAACCGGATTTCGAAAATTCAAATTTTCGAACTCGTCCCGCGCGAGACTCGTCAGATCGATTAGTCGAATTAGAGGGTTATGTGGTGATGTCAGGAGTACGAATTGTTTAATAACAAATAAGAAAATTATAAACGTGATCTTTTTTTTTTTATTTGTCTAGTCTCATGGAGACTGAAAATATGTAATCGTATATCGTTGTAATATTTAATAGGAATATCAGAGAAGGCAACCACGCAACACCATAATCACCGTTAATATCATCGGATTAACATAAGCATTCTAGGAAGCTTCGCGACACCGTTCCAGGGAACAACGAATTTGACACTGTACAGTGTTTAATGTGAAACGAAAGAGAAGCTGTCGAACATGAAATGTTTTCATCCAAGTAGGGTAAGCAAGAGTCTCTTGTAGTCGCCCGAGCAGTCGTCCTGAAATTCATGGAGAGTCATGGACAGCCGGAGTATAATACAGTAAATGGTTAATAATTGTTTCCGGGCATAATTACAACATATATGTGCACGGTTATGCGGGTGAACGAGATCCAACCTCACAGATTCCTTCAGCAAAAAATAGTGTTTTAAATCTGTTTCGAATTTGAAATTTCCGTCTTTTCTCCGTTGATAAAACAGAAGCTCATTGCGGGTAAAATAGTATTCTGCGATTAAACCATTATCCACCGTAAATAAAATAGTATTCTGCAATTACAGCATTATCCTCCGTAGTTAAAATAGTATTCTGCAGTTGACCGATTATTCGCCGTAGTTAAAGTAGTACTTGACTTTATCGGACTCGAGGCGGGAAATATAAATGGTTTAGACGGTGAAAGAACTTTGCTGAATTGGCCCCGAGAGGTTGGACTCCGAAACTACACGTTGCAGTTTCAACTTACGTCGATGTCTTCGGCGAGTGATCGTCCGTAAACTCTTTGGTAGGTGTTCTTAATGTCTCCTAAATCGATCTCTGAGCGAGCAACTATTATCCGGATCAATGTTGTGTCGTCGGTGCCCATTCCTTTCATTGCGTGATTAAGACGCTTCGCGAAGTATCCAGTCTTGTCTCGGGCACATCTCACTGAAACAGAAAGCAATTGATTGACGCGATAATTAAAACGTGCGATCATATTTCTGTGGCAGAACTCGTAGTTTACGGTTCTGAAAATCTCTGCTGTTACATCAAACTGTATATAATTAAATATCGCTTCAGAAATGTTGCAAATTAAATAAATCGGTCGTCGAAAAATTGGTTCTTCCGCCTCACCGACTGCAAGGTAGCCGTCTTCGATGGACCCCGAGAATTCATCCTTGATCGTCGTCTCGAGACTGTTCCCAGTGAGACGTTCGTACTCGTCGAAAATTTTTCGCAGCTGAGGATAGCTTTTGGTAATCAGGATAGCGTTGAATGTGCTTTCGTCTGTGCCCCATTGGCCTTCGCCAGCTTCCACCAGCCTCTGAGCATCCTCGGTCGCTGCCTCGACGTCCACGTCAGGATTCTCGTTCCTGCTGGCCTGTCGATAGTATTTTTCATAATTTAATAATTAGCTTCGTTCGACCATGCGACGATGTTCGCATCGATGAATTTCACTTACACACGAGAGCGAAACCAGCAGCCTCTTGAAATATCCGGACGTGTCGCTCTTCAGATCGTCCTCCAACTCGCTCCCATACACTGCAACCATAATTTTGATTACAACGAAGTTCGAACAATCCTCGGAAATATTTTGATAATATATATTATATTATATTATATTATTATTATATTATTATATTATATTATATTATTATTATATTATTATATTATATTATATTATTATTATTATATTATTATATTATTATATATATATATATTGATAATAAAACGTTCGCTCACGATCTTTGTAGACAGCGGATATGGTTTTAATCCCATAATTGCTGAGGGATGCCAGGACCTCGATAAGAGCTCCCTCGTCGGTGCCCATCCCAGAAATCGCGTTGTGCAGTTCTTTAGCATAGTACTCCGGCAACGGTGTCATCAGTGCCAGAATAGCGTTCTCGAAATTACCACCGAGCTCGGACTTCAGTTCCTCGATCAGGTCCTTTCCGTACATCGTTTTGAACTTGTCGGCGATCTCGAGACGTTGCACGATACCGCGATGGGCCAGCACGTCGATGATGGTCTGCTCGTCGGTGCCGAAACCCTTCATGGCAGCACGCAGGAGCGATGCGTCCTCTTCGGCGTCGAAGGGGTCCGCGGGGTACACCGTTGGCGTGCACTGAAAAACAGAATGTCAGAAAATTAAATTCCGGTTCCAATGCTATGCTACATCGTTTGATTTAGGTTATGTAAGGTTATGTCTTAAAATCTGTTGTGTATGTGCGACAATTTTTTTTCAAAATCACATACCTGCACGTGGTAGTACTGGCTGGCCGACATTGTACAAATGATCTGTAACAAACGAATCGGGAATTATGAATTTCTGTGCGAACAATGTACAGCGTCGAACATTTAAGAAAACGATAATAAATTGATTCGGACTTTGTTATATGCACAGATTAGACATTCTACGACACTTCTCTAGCAGTTCTGTGTACAAAAAACATCAAATCGCCACGACGGACACAACGTACTCACAATATACCCTAATTCAGTCTCGGTAGAATTCATGACTACAAAACAAAACGAAAAAAATTGTTTAGAAAATACATGCTTCACGAGCTTTTAGAGAATGTACGCATAATA